TAGTTGGCTCCACTATGTATGGAGGGAGACCAGTGGTTTTAGATCCCTAATAATATCGTACGGGCCTCTGTGATCTAAACGGTATGACCTTGCCAATAATAAGATAAATAGGTATTGGTCATATTAATAATAGTAATAATAGTAACTTTATTTAATAAAGCGCAAAACAATATCCATTTCAAAAAACAAAAAAAATCAAAAAATACATAGGAAATATACAGTAAAAGTTAAATAGACAAAATTGGAACATATAATCATCACAAAATCACAATACCATTTAGCACATCAAACAACCTACATTGAAATAAAAGAAAACGCGACATGAAAGAGAACGATAAAACACTAAAATATTTGTTTGTAGACAAGTCCACCAAACCGTTACGAAATATACATCAAAAAGTTAAGAGAAAAAATATATGTAATGCCGATAAAAACTACAGTTCATCATGTATCTTAGAAATTTAAACTAAAGTTGCTTGAAGTACTTAAAATGCAATGCCGATTAGAATATACAGTACATCAAGTTTCATGAAGTTGAACTACAAGTTGAATATACCTTACCTAGATAAAAGTTAAACATTAAATCTCTTTTTAAATAAATGTGTTTTCAAATGAGACTTGAAAACATCAATGGTAGTACAAGATCTAATATAAAGGGGTAAAGTGTTGAAAAACCAAGGACCATTATTCTCAAAAGCACGGTCTTTAAATGCTACTTTGAATTTTTACAATCTGATCGCAGATTTCACCTTTGCCAAAAACTGAAATCCCGATCGAAGGTTCCGTTTTGGAGCGTGCCATTCAATTAGTTCAGATAAATATTGTGGTGCTATACCATGTAGAGATTTATAAACCATTATTAGAAATTTAAATTCAATCTTTTGAGGAATTCCGAATAGGTATCGTAACCAATGAATTCCAATGTATACGTCAGTGATACGATCGTATTTACGTGTTCTTGTTACAAGCCTAGCAGCCGAATTCTGGACACGAATAGGTGGTATAAGTTTATATGCTGGAAGTCCAACAAGCAGCGAATTACAGTTAGGCCTATCTAATCTAGACGAAATAAATGCACATTGAACTAGTTTTTCAGTATCAGACTGAGAAAGCGATTTCCGTATACGGCTAATACTTTTATTACGTCACTTGAAATGTGCATTAGGGCCTATAAATATGGTATATTATAAATACCGAACAAACGTTTTAGCTGACACTGGATCATATACATACATAGTACTATAACTACCAAACCAAATCATAGGCTAAAGAGACACAGAATTATAAGATAGACATTATGGGGCCATCATTTGCGCCAATGAACAAGGTTATTGACACTGTGTATGAATACCTGTCAATGACGACTGATTGATACACTGAAAAAAGTGCAGGTACACAATAAGTTGTCAAATGAAAACATAGCTCTTTGGATATTAGTTATTATTAATGAAAACAAATTTTCGTGTGCAAAATAAACAAGTGGAGTTGGTACATCATAACAAGAAACGCCCACATAAATTCCATCTATGCATTTAAGCATGAGAAAGTCAACATATATAACGAAAGATCAGAACTGGTTGCAATGTAGCCATAACTATTGGACTGCGGAAAGCCGGGCATTCAGGAATATGAAAAACACATTTAGTTCATTTTGCATTTCATTTTCATTTAAATATTCCCGAGAGATTGTGAGTGAAGCCCGACCATTGCAACTTGGTTTCCGTCATGAATTCTCTGTGTGCAAAATCCTGGTACCACCCTTGAATTTATGTAATAATAGTAGGCCTATATGGAACGCCAAAAGGACAAACCACAAGTGATGCAGTGCAACACTAAAGTGGCGCAGAGCAAACCAAGATGCATGGGCCGCCACTTGACTTTTGCACTGCGCCACTTGACTTTGCAAGTGATATCGCGCCAAAATGACAAACTACAATCGGTAGCGCAAAAGTCAAGTGGCGCAGTGCAAAACTCTAGTGGTGCAGCACCCATTTGAGTGTTTGCACTGCGTCACTTTTGTTTTGCACTGTACGTGCCACTTTAGTTTTGCACTGCGCCACTTGACTTTTGCACTGCACTTGACTTTTGTACTGCGAAACTTGTAATTTGTCCTTTTGGTGTTCCATAGGCCTGGGGTTAAACCTATCAATCATAAAATAAATACCATAAATGTTCAAATATGCACTTCTATGCTTATACAATTTTTGGAGCTTCAGTGCGGCGCTTATTCGAGAGCGGCGCTTATAAAAAATATGTCATTGGCGTGGCGCTTCCATTCCCGATCCCATGTTGCCCATCTCACGCACTCCTCGTAGTCCAGTAGGCATATCTGATATGCCTACTGAACTCATAAATAAAGGTTTATAAAGACATGCTTTGTCTTCATAGTGTTATTTATTCATTATTCAATTAAAAAATATATACATTGTATTTAAAACCCTGTTTCTCAAAATGTTCTATTACACACTGTAGGCTACTCTTGTTACACATTGTACTTTGGATTAAGGGCGCCACGGCGCTTATTCGAGAGAGGCGCTATCAGAAGAAATCAGATTTGATGCGTCGCTTATGGAGAGCGGCGCTTATTCGGGCATTTACGGTACCGCAGTTTAGCTCTTCAAACTAATTTTATGCACGTGATAAACTATTATAGATTTTAGAAGTTGTCCTAATGTCTTCCTAAGCCATGTCTTCAATTGTCTAAAATTATTTAAAGAGGTAACCCTGAATATATTTTAACTTGTCTTTAAGAAAAAAAAATGTTTATATTAAAATACAGCATGAGAGATAATTAAGAAAAGAATAAATGTCATCTCATTTTTCCTCATATATTTACTGTTAGTCGTCTAACTAATGTAACAATTTCTAGCAGTTTCTTGAATAAAATATATACTCATGGGAGGGGACTATCCCTCATATCTCCCATAAAAATATGTACGAGTGGGCTAAGGGTGTGTCTTCCTTCCCCCGTGATCTGTCCCCATGCATCCCCATGAATATGTTGTCATTAGCTTCAAGGTACGAAACGTAAATAATTCGTACATATAATTTGATTGTAATATTGATATTGTGTTAATAGGGTATAAGTCTTCCAATCACTAACTGTAGGCCTATTCGTCAATTTGCTATAAGGTACCTGTTCTGGACCGATTTGGGAAATACGTATCCGCCTAGAATTGAGAGATCATCCTTGTCGGGGAAAAACCGAGTCACCATTTTGACAGGTGTTAACCAGCCGAGGTCTATAGCTGTTGATATAACAACTAGCAGGTAACACTGTAATTACAAAATAGGCCCTAGATGTATCTATCTTAATGTTTAACTTGTTTTCAATGTGAGAATCTCTATTGATAGAACAATGTGTGTATTGACACGATAGCGTGCATTGCGATATTGGAGTATGTGTTATACTATCTTATAGAACAATGTGTCTCAATGATTTTTACCACCTTCTTTGATTTGTGGATAAGAACCCGATATGTTGACAGTGTTTCATTTATTATTTTATTTTTTTCTCTGTATTGATTAACTCCTAAACAATTCTTGATATGGTCAAAACATATCACTTATTTTGAAGCTGAAAGCAGACCTATCTATCATTACAGTACAGAGATCATCAACTAAGTAAATATTTTTATTTGTCTCCTTTAACTGATTATTTATTGGCATTTTGACTGATGACATCAGTCATTGATGATAGAACTAGCTTTTGTTAGCTAATTCACCTTACGACGATCATAATTTTTGAGCGACCAAGATTACAACACTAACAACCATTAAGGTCAAAAATGTATTCGCCTAAATCCGTCTTATCCAAATTTCGGAGTTTTTGAATCGGCATTCTTAGCAGAAAAATGTTTTGTTTTTTTTGACAAACCCAAAGTTGTTCCGAAGTTTTTGTTTTTGGAAATGCCACTTTCAAGCTTTAGTTTTTATACATTATTACAGTAACCATTTTAGCAGTGTGGTTGCGGATGACTCAAAAATAGTTAATATCATAAACAGTCTTTTCTCAATGTATTCATATCTGTGTAATTTTTTTTGTATTGGCATTTTCTTCATAGGTTTATAATTATCAATATATTCTTGCACTAGCATTAACTTACTTCATTTAGGAATGAGTGTTTTAATTTAACATAACGCATTCAAGTCGTACTTATAGTTTTCAGCTGAATTATGTTTCCTATGTTATGTGTATCTCTTTTCTGATTCTTATTTAATGTAAAAACAGTTGTGATATATTCACTATTAAAGCATTGTTAAATGCTGTACTGAATTATAAAAAAGCCCCAATAACTGTGTAGCTAATGTATGGAAACCGAGCTTCACCTAACTAAAATATCCATAGGCTATGATGATTATTTATATTTATTAGAATTTATTGGACAGAGATTAACTCTCATACCAATGAAAATACGATCGAGTCTGCTGATCTGAATGGTAACAACAAGCAGACAGAAGTTTCATTTTCATTATCTGAAGGAATACTAGATAGCGTCACTGTCGATGAGGTGAGTATCTTTTGTACTATGTATATTATTCTGTTTTGTATATGAAATTATGATCTGGAAGTAATCAGTTGATTAAGTTTAATATATGTTACATAGCTCTAATTGTTCCTGAACATTTATTTTAAATAAATTGTTTGGAGACTCAGCTGGTCGACATGAGCGATTCACGCAAAACTAGTTAAACTCGTATCGACTTTGAGCAACTGAAAATAAATGAACGGAAACTAAACTCATCTCATGTCGACTTTGAGCACCTGAACGAAACTAACATGTCGACTTTGGGCAACTGAAAGGAACTGAACGGAATATTTTTAAATTTGGTCTTCAATAGGAGGTCATTTTGTCACTTCTTACTTCCATAAAGGTGGTCTCGGTCTCGAATAAGAGGGGTCACGTAATTAGAGGGTAAGCTCAGTGTTAACAGATAAGTGTCAGTTAGTGCTTTGAAAAAATGGTCTCGAATTAGGGTTCTTGTAATTAGAGGGGTCTTAAATTGGAAGGTGGACTGTATAACTACTGTCTCTTATACACAATGATAAAGGAGATTCAATACGGTACTATGACAAAAGCGCTCCCAATAAAGACTTGGTGCATTCATTGCAGTCTGAAGCAGGTGTAAGGATATTCGATATTAGTGTCGTTGGACCTATAATTCAAGAAAAGCCGTTAAATTGTAAGATATTGAGCTGCATTGCATAATATTAAAATCAGATGTTGACTCATTTATTTCTTTGTTAAACCACAAAATACAGTCCGCCTTCCAATTCCAGACCACTTTGTGTATCTGAAATTTGGGGTGGTCTCGGGGTTTGGTGTCAAATGAGAAACCTCTAAATAAAGACCACAGGTTTGAAGTGGTCTCCAAGCAACATAATTGGAGGGTAACCGAACCTGAAACCTCTAAATGAAGACCGGAGATAAAAGTGGTCTTTAAAACGCAACATGGGACAACCATTTATGTATTTCAAAGAAGCTGTTGCTTGCTTTAAAATTTTTTTTAGCAACTTAAAGCTGTTTAAAACACACACACACACACAAAATCTGAACAGCATACTGTAAATTAAACATAACGTTTACACTTTATATGACTAAAGTTAGCTTTTGGATGCTTTAGGTATGTAAGTGTCCAACCTTTATATAAAGAAAAATGTTATTTTCTTTTGTGTTACTTGCCTACTCGCAATCTTCAATAAGCAATTATCCAATGAGTTTGAAAGTTCCTCATGGCCATGATACATTTGGGGATAGAAGCCCCGTGTGCTAGACTCGTTGTTGCGGGTATATGGGAAAAGACAACTAAAAGGGCCACGCCCACCTCAGTACTATACCGCCATTGTTAGAGCTGAATTTGAATGGCTCTTTCCCCTCCACTCCCCCCTGTGGCGTAGCTACAGGCAGTGCAGCCAGTGCAAAGAACTTTGGCCCAGGGCTATAAGAGGCCCATTCATAAATAAAACTAATAATTAGAATTTTTCCAACTTCCAGCGAGACCCTCAATAAATTCGGTTTTCAGAGGAGTAATAATTGATTACTGTGTTCTATGGTGTATTCAAGGCCGGGGACCCAGCCTGCTCGACCCCATATTTTTTCAAAATTATAAAAAAAATGGGTTAAAAGGAAATTATATTCATTATATTATTAAAATGAATATTATAAGTCTGAAAGTGCCATTTCCGGCCATTCAGAGGTGCTATAATTTAAATTGTCTTACCTCAGCCCCAACCACGGTGGGGATGAAGTGGCCTTCCTCTTCTACCTGTGAAAATCCCTCCCTGATCCCTCTATTTGAATTTCCTGATCCGCCACTGCAATTGTAACGTGCCATCAATTATTAACATTAGTTTAGAACAGATGCTGGGACCAAACTTTCCCCTCTTGAAATAGTTACGAATCCGATTATCAATAGGCCTAGTATTTAATTCTAACCTAGGCCTTTAGGCGTCGGGCGTCGGGGGTAAAAATGAACTATGATAAATGAACTAGGGAATTCCCCTATCACATGAAAGCTACGCCGCTGCCTCCACACCCACCCCTCCCCCTATTCGGCTACTGGGCTTCATATTCACTTCTTTTCATATCAAAGCAAATACCAACAGGGAAACTCTTCTTGACACTCTTCTTACAAATCTTTGGATGATACCATTATGTCAGGTGTTCCAGCTTTACCAGATTTCCCCAATCTTTTCCCCCAATAACTGTTTTTGTTACTTTAAAAATAATTTTTGGTTTTAGTTAAATTATTTAGGTATCTTTGATTTTAGCAGGGGGGGGGGCATTAGCAGGGGACTTTCCCTCTCCCCCTTGACTACGGGGCTGGGGAACAGTGCAGCAATTGAATGGCTGAAGAAGAAACATAGGACTGCATCAAATTAGGGATAAACAGCTGATTCAACAGCACTTTTTGGCAATAGGTGCCAACAGATTGTTGTAAAACATTTAATGAATATATCATGACAGCCATTGGCCTAAAACTAAAAATTTCTTTTTAAAAAATTAGCTTTTTCAAAAATAATACACTTAAGAAACCTTTATTTATAGGATACATTTATGAAATTACATCTGTTATAATTTTGAAGTTCAATTTTCCAAATTAAAGAGTTTTTATTGTTTAAAAAAACTTGAATCTGTTTGATTCTATTTTTAAATTTGGTCTTCAATAGGAGGTCATTTTGTCACTTCTTACTTCCATAAAGGTGGTCTCGGTCTCGAATAAGAGGGGTCACGTAATTAGAGGGTAAGCTCAGTGTTAACAGATAAGTGTCAGTTAGTGCTTTGAAAAAATGGTCTCGAATTAGGGTTCTTGTAATTAGAGGGGTCTTAAATTGGAAGGTGGACTGTATAACTATTGACGTGTCTCTTTTAACTCTTCCAGTACCGTGTGATAGTCATATGTGTGAGCACTTTTGTGTATCTGCAGCCGACGGAAAACATGAATGCGTCTGTTGGGATCAATATATTTTGAAATCCGATGGCACGTGTAGTATTGGTACGTATTTTTATGAAATCGAAAGAGGGAAAATTTAATGTAAGGTTATCAAGATAATGGTCCTTATGTGAATTATTTCCAAAATGTAATCGCTACGCATGAATAATGTAAATAATTTGAAAAATAAATATAATTAAAAAATGCTAACTGCTAACAATTACTTAATGGATGCTGCCAACGACTAGACGCAGATGTCACAAGATAAATTCTCTTGGAGTACTTCTCAAAGATCTTCAAAAACGCGGCATAAAATTACGGAACTTCAGGAGCTACAGAACATCTTGAAATAAAAGTAAGCGGGATCAAAACAATTTACATTTTTAACATTACTAACTTTTTAATTGATACTAACATAAACCTCACAATTTATTCTCTTTTTTCTTTTAGATCCAGGAAATGTAAAACCTCCAGTATACATTATTGCAAAATCTGACTCTATTGCCCTTTTCGACCCTTTGTTACTGCATTACGGTGTGGAAAACAAGCAACAATACATCCGTGATATCATCAGCGTAGCAGAATTCGTGACAGCTTTAACGGTTGATTCTCACAGTAGATCACTATTTTATGCAACATCGAAAATTAAAGCAATAAGACTGGAAAACGGAACAAGATCGTCAGCACTGCGAGAAAATATCGGTCGTGTTTATGGTAAGTCACATACCGACTGACCAAACGGCCGACCGTCTCAGCGGAATCCATAATTTATTGAACTGGGAAAAGGTGTGGGGGCTGGGGCACAACATTTTCAATAGATAATTGAGTAGCACTAATTTCGATATGTGTATTGAAATTTTAATATTTAGTGGCAAAATGAGAGCGGACCAGAGTTACAAACATTTATTTAAATAATAAGTTGTTTTTTGAGATAGTATAATACATACTCCAATTATCGAAATGCACGCCATCGTGTCAGGATTCAATATTAATTATGTCATCATTAATTATGTCATCATCAGGAATCATTCCTGATGATGACATAATTAATGTCGAAATATTGAATCCCGACACGATGGCGTGCATTTCGATACTTGGAGTATGTATTATACTATCTTATCTGAGAATAATCAGTGGAACCTTAAGTTGATTTTTAATACGTCAATACAAATTAAAAAATGTATTATTCAGATTTTAATTAATTACTACTGTGCAACTTTGTAGTTGTGTACTTAAATACCTACTTCAGTAGATCTACAATCATTTGGCTAGTTTGTCTCAGCGTTTCTTCAGAATGCAATGCAAGTCGCTACACCTTTCTTCATTTTCTCTGTTTTTATTTTAATAATAAAGATATCTTATTAAAATTAATTTTGTTAAGGTATGGCGGTTGACTGGATTTCCTTCAATGTTTACTGGGCCGATTATGATTTACATCATATCATGGTGTCAACCTACGATGGACAAGTTACGCAAGAACTTGTTTCGAGTGACGTCGTCAAACCAATGAGCGTAGCCGTAGACCCTAACGCCAGGTAATTGTAATAGGATACAGCAATAAATATTAGGTCTAATTAATCAACTTTAGGTCTTAATTACGCATACGGGGTGGCTGGGCACAGATCGTGAATCTTATTTGTAATGATACTACATACGTCCAGGTAAATTGTAGGCAACTGCACATTACCTGTGTAACCTCACATGGTTATTTTACCATGCTTTTTCAATAACAAAAGAACCATAGTAGACTTATAGTATATTCATGCTAATAATAAAATTATAAAGTGTATTATAATGATTTAGGCCTATACATAGTTATATTAATTATAATTATACACTATTATAAAAACAACTATTCACGATTGTAATATTCCAAAATATAATAGTAATTGATAAATAACCCCATTTTCAATGTTTTTAAAGATTAATATTTTGGTCGGAGGTTGGTCTACCTGGTCAAATAGAATCATCTGATTTAAATGGCAGTAATCGGCGAGTCCTTGTAGATTCAACATCAGCTTCGCCGACAGCAACGACACTCGATTATAAAGAACAGAGGTAATGCATTTCAATAGCTAAATATTTGATTCATTAAAAGAAAACGAACAAATATTTACGAAGTAGAACTAAATACTTTCATGGATATTTTATCATAATGATTTTTCACAATTATATTGACTGTGTTACGATACATCTTTTTCCAAGTATCTGTTGTGTGTGTTACGAATGTTTTGGCGTTGATGGCTATCACCTCTTGCGGTGTTAACAACAGTTCTGGCCCCCTGTTAAAATGGCTTCGGAGAAAGTAGCATTTCCGTATGGAAGAAAGCAGTCAACCATTTGGTTGAAATACACTCCTTTGAAAAAACCCATATTTTTTCATTTACTTATTTCTATAATTTATTCCAAACATGGCGAGATGAGGCGGATGAAGGCTCCTATCGGGAACATTGGACCTCTCGCCAGGTACCGCCACTAAGTCTGCTCCTATTATCAAATTTTAAAATGTAATTAAACTCTAACATTTATAATTAATAATATTTATGATTATAGTAAGTTTGTCCTTTCTCTGAGAACACCTGAAAGTACGGTACCTTATAAATAAATAGGCTTATTTCTTATTTCGTTTTAAGGGTTTATTTTGCCAATGATCATAACATGGATATTCAATATGTTAATTATGACGGCACCGAATTAACTAAGGCTTATACCAGCCACCATTCGGTCCAAGGTTTAACCATATTTCAGGTAAGTAACTATCGTAAATGTTTGAATAAGCGCCGCACCAAATATGATTTTTTTGTTAAGCGCCGCTCTCGAATAAGCGTCTCGGCGCCTAATCGAGAGTACATAGGCCTATTATTAGCCTGTGTGTAATAAAAAAAAAAAGGTTTTAAATACCTGTACATTGTATTTCCATAGTTCTAGGGGAAGGTGAAGGTCTTAATTTTACCTTTCTTAACCATTTTACTAGTAGGGATTTTGTTTAGGATCACATTATACTGCTATACTAAAACTATTTTATCACATAATATTTAAAACTTAATAATTGTATAGGCCTAGGCCTTCGTGAAATATTTAAACTATATTTTGATTGAGCACTGTTTCACAAAAAATTGAGATATTTAAAAATTATATATATATATATATATATATATATATATATATATATATAATTTTTTAAGCGATATTTATTTTCTAAATTATCTTTTTGAGACCCCTTCCGAGTAAAGCCTCTATGATTAAGTTTATAACTTGCTTCCTATGTTTAGTCTAGAGTTATTTTTTATTGATGTTTCTGATTTTAGATAGGGGGCCTATATCTTATTTTTTCAATAATAACTTCCGATATTTTTAGTAAATTTTTTTTAATGAAAAAAATTAAGTAATCCTTTCTTACTCTCTACAATTTTATAAATGTAGGAATAACCAGACATACATTTATAGAGGGTTAGAAAAAATATTTCCCGTCTAATTTCAGGACTTCATAGCAATGGCTGAAACATATTCTAATTTTGGATTGATTGAGGGATTTCACAAGTCATCTACAGAATTAGAAGGCCTTATTGATATTAATGATAGTGTTTACGCCATTGATATCTTTGACAAGTCCAGGCAACCTATCATTGATGAAAGTATGTATAAAAATGTAATCCCCAATGATATTGTGAAATGTAGTGGTTAGATTAATGTAGCGTTTTTTTTTTAACTGATGTCTTAATGTGCTCGTAATATTTGTAAATTTTTAGCAACTCTTTTTTCTTAGCAAATCTACAAGAATTTTCCTTATTTCCTCATTCTTATACATATATGTTTGTATTTCTACATTTTGAATTGATGCAACAACTCACTATGATGTTACTCAATCGATAGCCACAGCGACAGACCTAAATCTCATCTGTCTAATTTATCAAAACGTAGGCGTAAATTTCTCAAAATGTAGATCTAGTTTCCTAAAATGAAGTTCTAATTTATCAAAACGTAGTTCAAATTTTCCAAAATGTAGTTCTAATTTCTTTAAAATTAAATTCAAATTCAATCAAAAGACTTGATCAAAACGCTTTCTCCAAATTCTGTTCCAAAACGTAAATCAAAACCAGCCAAGCATGACTGGTTTGAAATACTTTTACAACAACACAAGACATGCGAAATGTAAATCAAAACTAGTCAGCCAAGCGTGACGTTGGCCTGTTCCATTAATGGGGGGGGAATGATGGGGAAATCATTTTTCGCTGCAGTCCAATGACGTGAACAACGCTTCCCAGAGCGTCTAATTCTTAATGGTCAGGGTACCGCGATCACGAGCCCTATGCTAGGCATTATAGGCTAGGCTTATGTGGGCTGGGATTTGCAACAAGGTCTTGGACTAGGCCTCTATACTATAGTAGGAGGCCTGGTCCAAATCCCGGCCTATAATATAGTAAAATTCTGTATAAGTAGTCATATGACTACAAGTTTACATTGTACCAAGGTGGACTTTTGCTGCGTATGGCACCCCATAGTAACACTGTAGTACTCTATGAACATCCGGATGTATGGTTCATGTACCAGTCTATCACAAGATTGCTTTCAACTTTTCGTAACGCGAAAATAAATTTGCGAGTAAAAAACCGCCTCAAGAAAAAAAGTGTCTCTTTTTTTTTTATTAACTTCTCAGATGGTGCAGTAATTGGTGCTGTGTTGGGGGCTGTTAGTTGTATTATTATCATCATCATAATCATAGTTTATTATTACAGACGGCAGAATAGGTAAATAAAAACAATATTTCTAATAATTATTGCCACTGCAACATTTAAAATAAAACAACTACCAGTTGTTATGATCTCTGAATCAATGATATGTGTATACATTCCGAAGTGTGTTTGGTTTAAATGAAACGACGTAAATAGGTATATTGTCTTAAAGCCAGGGTTATATAGGCCTACTATTATTATTTTTGATAGCAATCTTTATTATGTTAACTTTCATTTTTATAGTGGTTAAGCGATGCATTTAAAAAAAAATATTTTGTGTTTTGTTCTAGAGCTCCAAAGAAAATAATTTTTTGATATTAATTCTGTTGATGTAAATAAATGAATTAGGCTTATAGTTATAAATCAAAAATTAATTTAAATAGTATGCTTATTTATGTCACTCTATGCTTTTAGCTATATACCTGGTGTCAAATGTTTAAATGTTCACTGTTGTATGCTTCTCTGTTATATCTACATCTGACGACTAGACGTTGCTTATTCAATGATAAAACCCGTCATTATTTTCTTTTAAATCAGACAACCACTAGCAGAAGGAGCATACATAAATGATGATAACGGCAACAACAACAACATTCATCCCCCTGATCCAATTGGGCGTCTTCAGCCTCAGCCTGGTATGCAGGGTCACGTGTATGAGTCAATTAGAGAAGGCCAGGCCCGAATCGTAGCGATAGACAACACCCCTACTGGATTCCGACACAATCCTGTGTACGGTCTATCAGGGACGTAACCAGGATTTTTTTTTGGGGGGGGGGGGTTTGAAAGGGGGGGGGGGGGGGGAGCCGTTATGAGAATTACGTAGGACCCCGGCGGGGTCAAGGGGGTGAATCCCCCTGTGAATTAGCGCACGTTCTTAGGACTGTTTGAGAGGATAAAGTGAAAATTGCAATAGACGCATTATAAGCGCAAAAATAATTATATAATAAATCAATAGTGGCAGATCCAGGAATTCGAAAGAGAGGTGAACCAGGGAGGGACTTTCACATACCGAGAAACCACCCACCTTAGCCCCACCATGGTTGCGGCTGAGGTAAGAACATTTATGATTAGGGCATTTCTAGATGGCCGGAAATTACACTCGCACAATTCGAATATATTTTTCTTTTTTTTTTCCTTAAAAAAATGAAGGGGGGGGGGCCTTGAATCCACCTCTGCTCAAAACATTCTTTATCCAAAATAGTCATAATCACAAAAAATGGACATGAAAAACCAGATCACATCCTAAAAACAAACAGCAGTCACTAAGACATACATCAGGAGCCGACTCGATGGAGTTTAATGTCATATACCCAGGGAAGGGCACAGATCTGTTTTGAAAGGTGGAGGGGGAGGGCATTTTCTGAGTCGACACCCACCTCAGCCTCACAATGGTTGGTACTGAGGTGAAAAAAATTGAGGAAATAGTACCTCTAGATGGCCAGAAATGACACTTTTAGTAAAATTCATCATCATCACATCACCATTAGTCAAAATGAAGCGCCCAAAAAATTATCATGTTTTTTTTTCAGGGATTTTTGATAACCATAGAGATCTTATTAATGTGTGTGTGTATACCATAGAAAACAAAGCTTAAAAACATTGTCTTTGAGTATGTACTTTACATAGGCCTACTTCAAAAACGTGATTTCACAACCACCTCAGCCCCACCATGGCTGAGGCTGAGGTGAGAAAATTTGAGGAAATAGTACCTCTCGAGATGGCCGGAAATGACACTTTTATATAGTAAAATTCATCATCATTACCATTATAGTCAAAATGAAACGCCAACAAATTTCTCATGATCTTTTATCAGGGATCTACTTAATATCCAGGACAACTTAGGCCCCAATTTTCTTTATGGTCATCATTATATACTATGTATTTACTGTCTCTTATACACATCTAGATGTGTATAAGAGACAGGAACCACAGTATCGCATTTCTATCTTAAAAGACCTGGCCTGAGATTTATGGATTTAAGATTTTTTTTAAATCACGCTTAGGCCTATGTGCTATTAGGCCTATATATAACGTGTACTGATGCATATTGACATGTTTAGAAGTATTCACTTTGAGTGATCCCAGGAAAGAATTTGTATTGGCTCAAGAATAAGCTTTAAAATTTTAACACTACGTACAAAGGGGGGGGGGAGCCGCGCCCCCCCCTGGATACGTCCCTGCGGTCAATCTGATGTGCTTCCTTCTTAGACAGTTGAGGTTCAATGCTTAGACCTGCTTACCCTAATATGAGGGTATCGCCCAACCCCTATTATCAAAACATAGCTCCGATATCGGGATAAATATAAATTAAAATTTGTTTAGCATCAATGTGTTTTGGTGGCGTTTGCAGAGACGGACTCAGGCAAATGGAAAAAAAAAAGAAAAAGAAAAACACCCGCGGATATATTATCCTTTATTTTCCTTCTTCGAAGCCTCTTCCTGTCCGCTTTTATTTCGAATTCCTGGATCCGCCTCTGGTTTCTCATAATATACTAGATGATATATATTGTCTTATTATTGCAATTCCAAAAAAATAATAAAAAGAGTTTTGACTCTCCAGCATTTTTACTGTATATGTTAAAATATTAAACCATCAAACACATATTCAATAAAGCACAAAGGATTACAAAATGGGGTTATCTAGTAGTATAATTAATATTTAAGAAAAATAACTACAATTATAATTGAATAGCTTGGTGTGTGGAGAAGCTTGCGACCTAATTCAAGGGAACTGGGTTCAATTCCCCTCATGGATTTTTTCAACAAAAAATGAAACTTAGCTTATAAAATATAAAATATTATATTAAATTGTTAATATGATGTTATATAATCTTATCAAGCATCACTGTTATTATTATTTATTAGTTTATATTGTACGTGTTTGGTTGCCACAAAGTAAACGTTCATAAAATAATAAAATAAGTAGAAATAACATTCCTCAGAAGGTGACTTATAATTTTTAATTATAGAACCATAAAAATGGTGGAGATAATATCAGTCAATTTTTTTCAAGCCATCAACAAGCTTAGATCCATTAATAATTACTGAACTTTTCGCTGCTGCCACAAAATAAGTTGAGAGTTATTTTGTATACTATGTAAGGGAACATTCCTTTAAAGATATTTTCAACAAAAAAAATCAAATCTATTTTTTATATAAGCCTATTATTGCAAAAAAACCCCCCTGCAAAACGAACTGCTAGCTAGGACAAATGTCAAAAACAATTGCTAAAGTGACCACCTGTGCAGACAACCTCAATCCAATCAATAGAAAATATTTGATTTTGTTCAAAATGTGTTATATCCTCGTGTGTGTGTCTGTCTGTCTTTGTGGGGGTGTGTCTGTCTGTGGTGTGCGTCCTTCCGGGCACATAACTCAAAAACTGCTGGACCGATTTACTTTAAATTGTCACACATTGGCATGTATGCTGTTCGGAAGTAGGCTGCATATTTCAGAACGTTTTTTTCCGGCCGCAACTGACGGATGTTCGACCGAGTTGTTTGACTAGGCCGAGGTGACTCAAGCGGAATGACAGCGGGCCGACTCAAGCAGATCATGAAACTGATCATGGAGGTATAAAATATATTTTATACCTCCATGAGCAGATCAACCATGTGTCAGATTCTGGCCGCCGGACTGGTAGCTGTCCGGATAGCGTAACTCGCCGAACTGATGGACTTAATTGCCACGCGCAATCTATTACGCTAGGCCTCGTTTGGCAGAAGAATGTGATTTTATGCTGGTTACATCACAAACAAAAATGAAATAAAAATAAACATTTCTTCTACAGTAGAATCCCTACTTTTGGACAACCCTATTCAGCTGACACCACTAATCAGAGGACACCCTGTTAAGGAGACTCCCTTATTAAGGGTACACTTTTTATCACTACGGCTTACCCCATGAAGGGGATGTTGACACTTTCTGAGTGTGCCAGATAGTGAAACCATGGTGAAACAGCCCCTATTAGGGACACTTTTCATCGGTGTATCAAAACAATAGCAGTGTCAAAGTAAGAAAACAATATTTTGAGCAATACACCAGAATTTTCTGCCCTGAATCGAGAGTGAATATCGGTATAGGCCACAGCGCGTTACTTCGTATACACAATTCTTGTCAATTTTTACACTTAACCATGGGGATTTCTTTTTCTTTTAGTTTTTTTTGTGTACTTTTATACAGGATACTAATCCATACTATAACATGTTACTTTATTCATGCTACATACATCCAATATAGAGCTCAATATCAAAATAAGAATATTTGGCCATTTACGTTGTATCATGAAACAATAATTGTGAACATATCTTGTACCTATTTTTGTTTTAATTACATTTCTGCTGGTTTCATCTTATACAGTAAATGAATTGTATTTGTTGCAAATTATTACTATAAATTAGTTCTGATTCTACTGAAACTGATTCTTATTTCAATTTTGTTTATGTTGTATGGAAAATAAATTGAATTTGAACTTTGAATAAAATTAAAAATAATATATGTCATCGTTATATGAAAACATACCAAAAAACCGCTATAATAAGGGACAATCGCATTTTGCATCTTTAGGCAACATACAAAAGTAAAAGGATTTTAATTGTAAAAATCTTTTGCCTACTTCCTGAATTCTTTGTATATACTAATTTATGTACAATAACAAATAGCCCTTCTGATATGTCAAATAATTCTAGAGCATATGAATACATATAAAAAAGTATACATCTACTGTAATATTTAGTATGATTCAACCATTGTGTCCGACTCGTAGTATAGTGTAGGCTATACCTATTTTGTTTTTAAATTAATTATAAAACCTGTCAATGTCAATTATAAGACTTGTTAATGTTCTTCATACATATAATATTTTGTATATCTTACCTAAAACAATCTAGGAAAATTAACTAAAAACAGTTAGCCCATGTTAAAATAGTTGCCTCTTAACTTTGTAGACATGAAGCTACTACAAGCCTTAGTCTTTTACTACAGTCGTTTAAATAGTTGCAACTTTACAATGTAACCGCGAGATTAGTTAGTAGGTCTAAAGAACGCTTCTCTCAGAAGGTAAATTGAGATAGGCCTACTGTATAAAGAAACCTCAGCATCGATCTCACAAAATAATCGTGTGTCGACGTGCTTTAAAAACTGTAATACATATTGGGAAGTGACGTGGCGTTTCAATTATATTGCCGACTGCGGCTGAACGAACAAGGAAATTGCTGTATAGTATTAATACATATTTATTCATTCGTTACTTAGCAAATAACACTGTATGTGCGTTGCTTTTGCTGCTGTGTAATTACCGTATTCGTAATATTGTAAAATTACAAATGGACGCTTTTTACCTGATAATATGGGTTGCAACCTATTTTATACAATTCGGTAAGTCGGCTTTATCAGCTATAGAAGCGTTCGAAATAGAGAAAAAATAATAATGAGGTTCAGGGACTGTCTCTTCAACGTTTTATGTTTGAAGTAAATGGTTTTCAGTGTTTTCAATTAAAGAAAAAATAGGCATAGGCCCTATTACGTTGTAGGTTATCACTAATATGATCCTACCGTAAGTCACTTTCGAGATCAGGAGCATCCTATAGGTTTACAGGAATGGAATCCGGTCTTCATCAACTTTCATTAAAAGGAAATCCGACGATACGATTCACTAAACTATATTGCTTTTTGTAAATACAACGAATGTGTTTCTGTACGGTAATCGATTGTGGCCAGTGGCGGACAGCTTCGCCTTTCCAATCACATAGATTTTTGCAATTTATTTTGATGTTATTCACTTCTTAATGTTCTTCCTAATCTTAATCTTTTTCCTACATTTTGCTGTTTTTGCTCATATTTTAACGCTAGTTTTGAATTTTCTTATATAAACACTGATTGACAGCGAGAGAACACCCGACCCCGACGTTTGACTAACGACTTTAGAAATTAAGGTGGATTCACACTAACGAAACGAAAAAAGAAAATCGAATCAGTGTGATGCGGTGATGTGAATCTACCTTTAGTTTGTCCAAAAGATTGTCGAAAGAATGCGACCTAAGACCGCACCACCACCCCCTCCATCCCCATTTCAGCCAGTAATACAGTGTAGTAACGTAGGCCCCCAGCTGAAGCAGCACATGAAATAGATCAAGGTGCAAGCTGGAAAATGTCTTATCTAAAAATGATGCTAAACGTAGGATAAAAAAATAATATTTTTCTATATATTATTTTCCTAATGAACTAATACAATTATTTAGGGAGGGGTATGGGCGCATTCAGAGGTAAATAATTAGGCTCTAGTTCGCCTCCTGCTAAAAACTAACCAGACATTTCTTGACCACTGTGAAATAGTGAAACAGTATTAGGAATTATTGGACTGTCTAAATTTTTCAGGTGTGAATCCTGCTTTATATTTTTGAAGAATCAATACACTAATATTTTGAAGTAAAGTCTTGGATGCGCCCTGGGGAAAGGGGTTCAGCACTACCCCTATCGGCAAGAAGAAGCCAAAGAATTTGTCAAGGACCACTACCCTGAAAATAACATATTTTTCATGTCATTTCCGGGAATCTAGAAGTACTTAGATTTAAAATTAATTTGCTCACCTCAGACCCAACCATTGTGGGGCTGCTGAGGAGGTGTACACCCCCTGTCAGCCCCCCTGTTAGTAAAATTGCTGAATTGGCCTCTGATGGCCTGTTTCGTAGAGTTGAGGGCATGGTACTTTTCTGTTTGGCTTACGTTTAGACGAATTACAACTGGATTTGAATGACGAATTAAATTGAATGAGAAGTGAAACTGTGCGCAAGTACATAGGTACATTATTGCTCGATATAAATCAATGAAGTATAGTAGAGTTTTATGCACTTAGAACGATCATCAGACAAAAGGTGGAATATTCGTGGTTTTGCTGTTATACTCTTATATTTACTTCCTTTTATTTTCGTCCAATATACTCTGGGCTGATGATTTGTTTCATTATTTTTTCCTCGGTCGATTGGTTTGTTGTCTGGTGCATGAAAACATAAAAAGCGTATAGTTTGTGTAGGCTTATTAATGCTCTACTTAAGACGATATTATCAAGCACTATTGCAACGCATAGCTGGTTATAGTGAAGCTCTTTAGGTGAGGCTGAAACTACGCCACATAAAACACTTTTGCTTGAACTACTCTGACCAATATTATCATGCTAACACCACAACAAGCGCAACACTACGAGAAAAATGGAATATTGGCAATATTATAATTATAAGAAACACCACCACAAGTCAAAGCTATATAATGCAATTTGAATAAAAAGTGTTTAAATTCTAATACAAGATCCACAATTCATGTTAAAAGTCTGTTTAAAAATTTTAGGCTAAATTCCTTATTTACAATTGGTTGGTTGGATTATTGATTCCTCGATTTTAGATGAATTCTGAGTCCCCAATTTTGTCCAGAACTAATATCTGTAAGAAAACCAAGAAACATGCTACTGTAACAAAATATACGTAGATAAATAATTCTCTAAAAAAAATAGTAATTAGAAAAATAATATAAATGTCTGTATATAGGCATACAGTAATACGACGTAGAAATAAAGGAATAAAGAAATAAGAAATGTGAAAAGTAGGAAAATTTAACGGCCAGAAAACTAAAAGAAAAGGAAAGAAAGGAAAATGTATTAGCAAGGAAATGAAAGGAAAGGAAAATGAACAGAAAAATAAATGAAGTAAAATGAACATGAAGGAAGGAAAAGATAAAGAAAGAAATATAAGTACGTAAACAAAAATATAAAAAATATAAAATAAATGGATGACTAGTGTAATGGTAAATCTTGGCTCTCAAAGTAAACACCAGCAGTGATTTTGTCAACGGATCCCGTCATTGACGGCCAAGCTTCTTCCAAAGAAGACTGCTACTACAACAGTAACATACACAGTAAAGAAAAAGATAGATAGAAAATAGGAATGAAGAAAAGAAGGGAACAGGAAAAGAAAGATAAGTTAATATGTACAAGAAAGGAAAAAAATGAAAAGGGGAAAAAAGACATGGAAAAAGGAAAATGAATGTGAAAGTAATAGGGACAAGAAAAAAAAAATATATAAAAATATTATATTTAATTCATTATATTGATAAAACATAAAATAAATGTATTTTTCAAATGATTAATAACTTAAAATTAATCAAGTTAATAATATTCATATTAGCTTTTCATTTATTCATTAGGTTAATCATTCTTAATTAAGTCTTCAAATCGTGCGCTATATAAGTTCGCAATTATTATTATTGTTATTATTATTATTAATATTATATATATATATATATATATATTAGGGTTTTTTTTGGGGGGGGCTGAAACTTTGTTTCTTTTGTGCTGAAATTAAATATATATATTGATACACTTCCCAGATTTTAACAAAGACACTATGGAATACAACATTTTAACATGGATTACTTGAATTTACCACTATTATGTGTTAACATAAATTACACATGTATGTCGTATGTGTCATAACGCGTAAAACTGAAATGTATTGCGGTGTAATTCGAAAAGATTTTAGTATTATTATATTGTATTCAGTTGACTGGTGCATTGTTCCAATAAATACCCGGATGCATATAGGTTTTGAGTGTGTTATAATATAAATGCCAAAATTTTTATTCATCACGTAACATAGACTACAAAACTGGATTACTTGAACTTACCACTATTATTTGTTAACATAAATTACACATGTATGTCATATGTGCCTTAATGCGTGATACTGAAATTGATTGCGGTGTAATTCGAAAGGATTTTAGTATTTTATTGTATTCATTTGACTGGTGCATTGTTCCAATAAATACGCGGATGCATATAGGTCTTAAGTATGTTATAATATAAATGCCAATGTTATTATTCTATTTATTATTATGTTTTTATAAAATGATAGCTGTTTATTCCAAAAGTATCGGTCTCAGTCGTATTTCTCTCAAAAGGTATGTTATTTTGTTTTCACCCAAGTAAATTATTTTTCTACCTTGTTTAGGTGTAACTGTTCTAGTAAAAATCCTAAAGCTCACAAGGCTCCTAAAGCAAAATATATGCTTTGTTAAATTTGTAGGTTGCGGACAAGTAGCCGAGAATTTGTTGTTTTTGGCTCTTTATGACAAGGGTTATCCTGCATCCACTTACATTGGTTGGATTTCTGCAAATCCTGAATCCTACCAAAATAAATATAAATTGGACTATAGCACGTTATATCTATCATATTACCGCAATTGGACCTCACTAGCCACTGATTACCATGCAGGAAATGTTACTTTCCATGATAAAACAAGCCACTGGATTTTCCTAAGTGATGATTTTAATACTGTTGGTGGCGATGCTCATGCTATTGAAGGCGGGACGTCTGGTAGAGTGGAGGCTATAACAATTGACTGATTGGCTAAAAATATTTACTGGGTGGATGAAGGTTACAACTGGATCAAAATGACTAATTATTTTGGAGAAGGAGAAGCAATGATTGTTGATACGGGCCTCGAAAGGCCGTCGGGGATAGCCTGCCATCCTATAAAAGGGTGAGTACTTCAGAAATAAAAGTAACTGTTGACAAATAATATTATAATATAAATGGTAATAAATACATTAATGGTAACCTACCGGTATATCTTCTACACTTTTCAAGGATAGGGTCAGCACTAAATTGCATTTGTTATTGTTTTGAAATATATGGAAACGTAAAAATGTTTATAGTAAAGGATTGAGTTGGATACTGTTGAGCAGTAGAGCTTTAGACCAAATAGGCCTAACACATATTGGTATTATGTAGACCCTCAACTCTATATAGACCTAATTAAATTTCTGTATGTAGTTAAGGGGTGTCTGTGGTTCCTTACAGCGATTAGGCAAAAATAAAAAAATAACGTGGTGTCGATATATTTTTACAAATAAAACCCCAAGGAACTTGTGGACATCTTCCAATGTACTAGGTACATTATGCACCCCTCCAAAACAACGTTTCCTTGCCAAGGCCCGACCGACCCAACCGGTGCTGTAACATTGACAAAATTCGTATTTTAATTTTTTTTCCCCTTATACTACAATCATCTCATCTCATTGACAAGACACGATTTCTGACTAATCCTTTTGGCCGTACAAGAACTGGATGGTAAATCTAATAAAATTGCTTTTCGACATAAATGCACCATGGCCTAAGTGTTGAATTTTACACTTTTTTTTGGAACCAAATTAAAACGGTGGTCTGTAAAGCAATTAATCAGATACGTGGTGTTATTACCATGCTTTTTAAAGGGAGTGATAGGCAAAATTTAAATAACTAGCGACCCATCACACTGTTGAATATTGATTACAAACTTCTTGCTCATGTTTTAAGTAATCGACTACGTGTTGTTATAAAATCACTAGTTAATTCTGACCAAAAAGGATACATAAAAGGGCGTTTCGCTGGAGAAAACGTACGCCTAATAGAAGACTTACCGTAATCTATTACACTGACAAATACGATATGGAAGGAGCTATGGTAATTTTAGATTTTAAAAAGGCATTTGATTCAATTAGTAGAAATTTTATGTTTGCGGTATTAAAAAAAATTAAGTAAAACATTCTGCAAGTTGGTTGAATTGCTATACACAAAAGTTGAATGTGTTACTACGAATAACGGATGGGTCTCCGAAAATGTTGATATGGAAAGAGGAATACGACAAGGTGTCCGTTATCAGCACTTTTGTTCATACTTGTTGAAATTATGGCATGTAACATGAGGAATACCAATATTTTTAAAGGAATTAAGTTACCAAGCATAATTGAGCAAAACTATATAGAGGCAAAAATTAGTCAACTAGCTGACGACACTGTATTGTATGTCGGCGATGAACAAAGTCTACGTACCTCCATCAAAATTATAGAATAATTTTGCAAAATATCTGGAATGACCCTAAACAGACACAAAACAAAAGCCATGTGGATAGGTAAATGGAAAGATAGGAAAGATGAATTATTCGATTTGTGTTGGGTTAAACATCCAGTAAAGGTTCTAGGAATTTACATAGGATACGACATTAAGTCTTGTACAGCTAAGAATTGGGATGGTAAGTTGATAGAACTTCAACGAACATTAAAATCAAGTAGTGCGAAAAACCTTTCTTTCATGGAAAAGTTACCGTGTTAAAATCTCTTGCTTTTTCAAAATTATTATATGCAGCAAACATTATAAATGTACGAAAATATGTAATTGATAAAGTAGATAGCTTAATATATGCGTTCATTTGGAATAGCAAAAGAAAGAAAATAAAACGGAAAACGTTAATTGGTGATGAAAAGAAGGGTGGCATTAAAATGCCAGATTTTGGCTTACACGTGAATGCATTAAATGTATTATGGGCCAAACGCATTTTATATAATGCTGATGCCAAGTGAAAATGTATTCCAAAATTTTTTATTCAAAAAATAGGTCCTGAAAAGGTTTTTTTTTTAATATGACGTGTCTAAACAATATTAATGTTGAGTATGTTATGCCAGTATTTTATAAAAATGTATTGCAAGCTTATAACAAAATAAATCAAAAGGATATTCAAACATATGAGGAAATGATGAGTACACAGTTGTGGGGTAATCACTTAATCCAACTAAATAAGAAGTCATTGTTATACAATACATTTATACGTTCCGACGAATTATTATTAAAATTACGAGGCAAATTAAATTGGCTAAATGAATATGTTTGCATAATTAAAGCAATACCAGACCAATGGAAATATATAATTAAAAACACAGATAAATAACAATAAAATTTTCGAACATATCAAAAACAAAAAATGTATATGCATGTTTAGTAAACAACGTTTTTGTAACACCAACAATACAAAAAAATGGGAAGATTGTTTTATTGATAATAATATTGATTGGAAATCATGTTGGTTATATAAAATATGTAAAATGAAGGACAAAAAATTAGCCCAGTTCAATTACAAGCTCTTACACGGGATTTTGCCTACTAACAAAATATTACATATATGGAAACTAAAAGATACTGACAAATGTTATAAGTGTAAAGAAAATGTTGAAGATGAAAACCATATACTTTTCAATTGTACATTTATCATACCTTTTTAGATGAAAGTTAAAAATATATTAAGAGGTATTGTGCAAGAAGATATATCATTTAAGTGGAACAGAAAAATGTTGTAGATTATATTTATACTGCTGCAGCTTTTACTATTTACAAAGAAAAAATTCTGTGTGAATTAAAAAAATCAAGATTTACTGATCTATGGAGTGCCTTTAAACATAACATCATGTTCAGAATTAAAGGTGACTTATATATCGACAAAGTAAAAGGTAAAAGTAAATGGAAAAGAATACATAATTTGCAGATTGATAGTTAGGAATGTTTATACATATCTACATTGAAAAGGAAAAAAAGAAGCCATAAATAGAAGTAAATACTACAATATTGTATTACGAATTGTAAATTATAACAAAAATTAGGAAAGTACATGCAGGTGACATGAAGGCCTAAGTCAAAAATGATTTGGGTATTGTACAAAGGTAAAAAATTCTACCATGGAAAAAAATACTTTGTAAGAAAGAAGGCTTTCATTTCGACAAAAGTATTATACATGTATATATTAGCTACCTGTATTTTATTTGAAATGAAATATAGATTAAAGATGGAAAAATGAATGAAAACAATTAAAAAAAAAAGAGTGACAATAAAGGTGGGTGACTCCCACGAAAGACAAAAAAAAGCAAATCTAATAAAATTGCTTTTCGACATAAATCTTACGAAAGTGGAAGCGTTTGGAGCAGCGGTTTAGGCTTGGAATCTCAACTTCGTGGTCGGGGGTTCGTCTCGCTGTGCAGATGGCTTGTGTCCTTTAGCAAGACAATCTGCGTTTCTCTCTGTCTACCCAGGAGTATAAATGGGTACCGGCATAGTATGCTGGGAAGGTAAAGAGACTCGCTGTATCCCCTCAACAGTGGCGTAACTAGGATGTAAGGGGCCCTGGTTCAAACACATTCGATATTTATTGAATTGGTGTTTTTTATCAATAGGATTTACCAATGAACAATATCAATAATTATCTTGTATTAGTTTTATATACTTTAAATAAAATAAATGGATCATAACTGACGTCATTAGACTATGTATGACAGTGAGCATGCAAAACCGATAAATATGGCAGCCGAATACCATTTAAAATGCTCTATTTAAAAAATGGAAATACTGAATAAAATAATAAAAAGTACATTACTTTATAAACTTTTCTTCATCCCATAATTCAGATAATTTAAATTTCACAAAACCAGTCAAAAATTATCACTAAAACTCGATGATGAAATATAGGCTAGGTAATTTTTGTACCTGTTTTGGACGTGTTTTTTTTTGTTTTTGGTTTATTTATTGTTTTCTAATCTTTTTTCGACTTGATTGATAAAGTGCAAGAAACACAACCACATTGTATAAATGCAATATGAATAATAATAATGACTATATAGCCTTATTATATTTATACGAGTTGACGTGTATTGTAAAATGTAAAATGATGTATGCCTAATTAAATAAAACCTCGTGATATGAATACACATTTGTACAATACGCTGTGCATTATTTAATACATTATAAATACCGTACAATGAATAACTGACTACTATAATTACACAGGGTATCGTGAAATATAAAAAATATGCAAAATAAAAGATGTGTTACAAATACACATGGTACAATGATTATGCTATCATTATATTGAAAAATGGGCCTACAAATTAATGAATACCATAGAGTTTCGAGTAACATACTGCCGGTACAGTTTTCATTTTACTTATTTGCCCAACCCCCAAATTGTTATAAATATTTAAATGTTATTTTATATTTGTATCTCAAAATATTTTATAAATCGTCCAAATTACGAAAATTAAATATTTTCAAAAAACTGAAATGTACATAGGCAATACAAACACAAGCGCATGGTGGATTTTTGTTTACATATATAACATAAAAAGAAAATGTGATGCGAAATTCATATAATTATTCTATAGGTATCCGTATATATTTATTTTAAAATGTTATATTATAATTGAGAAAAAGTGGTCCAGCCAAAACAGGTGCGGTTTCGACGGCCCTCATTATCCTTCGCATGTATAACGGCGGACGTGATTTCAGTTTTCATGGTCTGTGAAAAGCACAGGGCCCCACGGCCCCGGCGGAGTTACGTCACTCGCGGGAAGGTAGCAGATAAAATAGTTCAATGTCACAATATTGCTTTATTAGATTTTTTTCCATAGATCGGGGCCAATGGATCTCGGGGACCCAAGTTAAAAGAAATTGTTGAGCCTGTGGTAGTTACGCCACTGCCCTTTAAAGCATTGCACAGTCTGGCCCCAACCCTTACGAATGATGGATGTGCACTCCGGACCTGTATAGGATCGATTACCTTTACCTTAACTTTTACGAAAGTGGTTAAATTCTGCACACACTTTATTCAATGTAGCCTATGATGCACCTCCTTTGTATGATTACAAGGAAGAAAAACTTTCCCCTCCTCTTCATGTGTCCTTTTTTCGCAGTTATTCATACAGTACATGCATCATACATGTATCATGCATCATACAAAATACATATGCAATTTGGTTTTACCTTTTAAGACTTTCGGGCAAGGGATAGTTTTAGCACTAAGTATGCATATGACTTCGAAGTAACACTTAGTCTGATTTATCTTCAGCAAAGTTCGAATCTATTTCCCCTATGCTGTAACCCACAATTAACGACTTATCGTCGTGATTGTTAATTTCTGTTATGCAAATTTATTGCGTGGAGTCTGTGTATGATGTGAAACATTTAATATACTCAGGGCGTGTAGTTGCAAGATGACCGTTGTACTAAAATGCTGCCGAGTCGACAAAAATGTGATGATCGTGTGCATTGTTGATCAAATGATAGACTGGGGTCCAGTTTCTAATGTTGTCTTAATCAGTGAAAACTATTAAAAATATCTATTTTGGCACCAAAGACGTTCCATAGGCCTACTACTTATTTGCATGGCGTTAAATAATAATCCAAATTTATACAACATATCAAGTTTTGTGACATTAACCGACGCTGACGCGCTCTCCGAAATTAGCTTATACTAGGAAAAATCAATTAATTAGAGATTTGTGGCAAGTCTCATCAATTGAATGTCCGCTTCAAAATATTGATATAAGGACGTCTATCTGTACAAAAAAAAAATGCTTGGTTGTAAAGAGAAGCAAGATGTTAAGAGAACTAAAAAACGCCAGTGTCATCGTATGACTTTTACGTACATTATATTATAAATACAGTATCATATTACTTGTTATCCCTTGTTTTTCTTTAGGTATCTCTTTTGGACTGAATTGGGAAATTTAAATCCGGCTAGAATTGAAAGATCATCTATGTCAGGAACAAATCGAGTCACTATTGTTACAGGTGTGAGTGAGCCGAGGTCTATAGCAGTAGATACTATTGCTAACAGGTGACAAAGTAGCACTCGTATTATTTAAATATAATTCAAGTCAGTAGGCCCTGCAAAAAGTAATACAACTATTCATGACTGTCTCAAGTAGACCTAATGATAATAATGTAGAAAAGTAAGAAAGTATAGTACATAGAGTACTTTGATTATTGCAATACTTTAATACCCGGATTATGTATTATACTTTCTTATCTGAAATTAATCAGTGAACCTTTTGGTAGAAAAGTAAGTTTCTATTATTTGTTTAAATTATTCATTTATTTAAATCAATAAATCTAAATTTACAAATGATAATTAAATTATTATTAATACTGCTGCTGTTGCTGTTACTGCTACTACTACTACTACTAATACTGCTACTGCTGCTGCTACTACTACTACTACTACTACTACTACTACTACTACTACTACTACTGCTGCTGCTGCTGCTACTGCTACTACTACTACTACTACTACTATCACTACTACTACTACTAACAGCTGCTGCTGCTTATTTTTACTATCAAATTTCAGCATCAGTTCTTATTATGTAAATGAGGAAAAGCCATAAAACAGACAAAATATTATCTCTTCTTCTATCCTGATTTTCCCTATATTTTTGCACATGGTTTTTCTGTCCGGCGCTTTGGAATATTCTTCAAAACGTTTTAAAGCAAAAAACATATATCAAAGATGTGAATGATGAAACATGACGTCATTCAACATTTTGAATAATTATCAAACGGGTAATTTAACTTTTATGTTAACGAAATTTGCCTTTTCTAAAACCTTTAACTCTTGATATGTTAAACGCAAACTTACCGTGAATTCCAGAAAACCTTTTGCCCTCAACTGATACCCAACTGATAATGCACTAACCTCCACAGAGGCGATCTTGGCATATTGCTCGCAACTCTCCACATCACCCTCGCTATTACCATTGAAGCCCTAGTTTGAGACTTACTGGACATTAGTTCATAATTTTCTTTATTATGATTTAATTGTTGTAAGTCAGGTATTTTAAAATTTATAATTATAATATTAATTATTATTATTATGTTTATTTTAATTAGGATTTACTGGACTGACAACAGTGCAGCTGACAATAAAATCGAATCCTCCGATCTTAATGGTGATAACAGGCGAACAGAAGTGTCAGAACCAACATCTGACAGTGTATTTGACAGTATTTCTGTCGATGAGGTGAGTATTTCATAAATATATTTTTATCAATACATTACTATGGTGACTGTTATTATTATTACTATTTTAATTGTTATTTTATCATTCTTTTACTTAACATAGGATTACATATTTGTGAGTATGTTTACATCATCTAAAGATGTTATCCGCTACTACAAAAAGACCACGCCAATCGAATTGTTTGTCGAATATAAATTGGACAGCGAAGTCCATGTACTTGATTTATGTGTCACGGGTTACGATATCCAACCAAAGCCAGCAACGCGTAAGTAATCGGTTATTTATTAAAAACTTTAAAAAAAACATCTTAAATCGTTATTGTATTTTCTAATATCTAACGTATATAACTTCCCTCTTTTAGTACCGTGTGATGGTAATACGTGTGGTGATTTCTGTGTATCAGCAGCCGAGGGAAAACAAGAATGTGTCTGTAGAGAAAACTATTTTTTGCATCCAAATGGTACATGCAGTATTGGTGCGTATTAATAATTTCTTTGGTAATGGAAAACTCATTTCTACAAACAAATGGTTGCTTTGCCTACCTATTGCCAAAACAAAATGTATTTACTATCGACGATTGAAAATATTATCAATATTATGATGGTTTGTGTAATTATTTCAGATTGGAATTTCTTACACCCACCACTCTGCATAATAGGCAGGACGCACGCCATGTCTATCTTCGACCCAACTCTTCTTCATTACGATTTGGAATATAAACAGCAGTATATTCACGATTTCTTAAGTGGAGAGAGAATTATAACAGCTGTAACTTCTGACATATATAGCAATATGTTATTTTTTGCGGAGGAGAATCGAAAATCAATATATGTTATAAAAATGGAAGATGGGCAAATACCACTTAGTATTCGTTCAAATATAAGTCGTGTTGATGGTAATTATTTATATTATATTTTTATATTTATATTTTTAACCAAACATATTAGTTCGAACATAACGTAAGAGGCCTATATTTTTAAACAATGGAATGCAAGTTCCACTTAAGCATGTTACGTTTGTAGGCCTACTTAAATCCACTTTAACATTTTACAGAATCTTAAGTTGATTAAATATCTATTTTACACCCTTGAAATTTTGGTGTCCCGGAGCATCGCCCATTGACTCCCTACGGGGATTTTGGGCCGTCAACGACTAGACCCTTGCGCTCCCGTTAGGGAATCACTGTCCGTCCTCCTCGTCAGGACGGAACATCCTCACTCGTTGCGGTTGAGTTCCTACAGTAATAGAGCGAATAGAGCGAGTTCCGACACGACATGAGCGGTTCAGGTCACGTGGCTACTGGACGCCCTCTAAATTCTTGACGTCTTGTTATTTAAAAATGTGTAACTCCATAACGAAGAGTCGTGTCACATTATTTTTCTACTGGAAATAATCTTTAAAGACTATTCTACACCACTGTTAGATTAAAAAAAAATCGTTTTGAATTTTGTTATAAATATAGGAACTCCAGTCGCGGTCAAAGTCTGGAGCCCGTGTAATAGGGTTATTATTTTATTAAATTTCATCTAACAACGCCTTTCGTTTGTTTGTGTTTGTCACTAATTTTGAAATATTTACTTTTATTTGCCTTTTCTTACTCCAAAACTTTAAAATAAACCTTATTCGCTGCGGTAAAACAACAGACACACACTCACAAGGCTTTAAATTTACTACAGTAGTTCAATACAGAGTTATAATAGAACAGTGCAGCTCAGAGAACAATCGTTCATTCAAATGGGTATTATTTATATATAGAATACTTACAACTATAAAAATCATTTATAATCTTTTTGTATAATGTATTTAAATGAAATTCTAACATTACCTACACCAGGTATGGCTGTTGATTGGGTTTCACTAAACGTTTACTGGGTCGATTATGATCAAAATCAACTATTGTCGACATCTTACGACGGCAAGTTCACAAAAGTGTTGTTCGATGATGTCACAAAATCAAGGGCAATAGCAGTAGATCCAAGCGCAAGGTAGGCCTAATTGTATTCTTACAAGCCAACTCAACCATTAAGCGTTCTTCATTCTTTCATGATACTGATTTGTTTTAATGTTTGTACAGAAGTTGATTATTTTACCAGTGTTTGTGTAGAGTGACTGTTCTACCGGTAGGCTTAGTTACGTCCCCTCGTAGTCATTTTTACACAAAATCTTTTCGAGTCGAATTCACCATGAATACTAGTGCTACTTCCATAATCAAGAGCGACCGCTCACCGGGTCCGCGTGTTCCTCCACGCTTAGATACGGTACAGGCGCAAGTTATTATATTGGGTTTTTTGGAAAAGCTAATAAGATTAAACACCATTTAGAATGATCATTTGTACAAAATTGAAATATTTAAAATTGAAAAAAAAAATCTTGAAAAAAACAGATTGAATACCAAGACACGATTCGAACTCACGATTTTAAATGCTTTAAAACACATCCTTAACCGACCGCAATATTCATGCAACGTTCCGTAGTGCTAATAACAATAATGTAAGTCCTTGCTGAAACCCCTGTTTTGTAGGTTAAGGGGAACCCTTTTGTCCAACCTAAAAAAGGGCGATGAACGTTTGTTGGAAATACCTCTAGTTTATGTGTACACAATTTCCTGCACGTCCGTTCAAAAATGGTGACGCTGGACGCTATTAAAAATTGAAACCCCTGTTTTGTTCTGTAAGGTGTATGGGAACCCTGGGGTCCAACTTAAAAAGGGGCAATGAACGTTTGTTGGAAATACCTCTAGTTTATGTGTACAAAATTTCCTACACGTCCGTTCAAAACTGGCGACACACTGGACGCTTTTAAAGTTTGAAACCCCTGTTTTGTTTTGTAGGTGTAGGGGAAACCCTGGGGGTCTAACTTAAAAAAACGGGCGATGAAATTTTGTTTTCTGATATTTAATCTAAAGTATATTAACGCAAACGTTGTTGCTAAACTGACCAATAAGCCATGTTTGTTTTGGTCACGTGGATAGCACAAATTGCAAATTAACGCACTCTGCTTTTACGTTAATCTCCGTTGTCAAGGAAGTCTATTTTAAGGACAAGTCGAATGAAAATAATACACAACAAAATATCGTTGTTAACGAAACAAACATGTCGAATACAATCAATGACATAACCAATTTATTTTAAACGTCCGATAAACAATTTTAGATATTTTTAGTTATAAAAAGAAATGTGGTTTTAGGCAACACAGTATTTATGTTTGTTTTAAATATCAACTAGGTTGATATTTTGGACAGAAGAGACATTTCCAACGAAGCTTGTGAGTTGTAATCTGGAAGGTACCAATCGCCATGATGTTATGAACACAAGGCTGCAAAGTCCGTCTGGAATCGCGCTTGATTACGCCCACAAAAGGTAGAACAGTATATTTATTGTAATGCTTAAAAGTCATTAGAACGTAATAAAACATGAAAAAACGTCCAAACATTTAAGTAATAAATACAATTGCTTTAAATGCCACTTCTAAGGAATATTTTTCGGCCTACCTAATGTTTGCATTATATATTTAAAATATGTAACGTTTAAACCGTTGATCCCGTATGCATTATGGCCCATGTGCAAATTAAAGAACGCAGTGCACTCTTCGGAAAAGAACAGTCTATGGTCTCCCGATGTACTGCCAAATTCACCACCAGGGTGTGATTCACGCAAAAAAGACTCCTCCTATATTGGCCTAGCAACGACTAAAAATACAATTTTCTCCTTAAAGGGTGTATATCGTTGATAATAAACGTATATATTTTACTAACTATGATGGTACCGAACAAGAAATTTTAGGCGCAAGTATGTATCCTGCTAAAGACGTCACAATTTTTCAGGTAAATTGTTTATCTTGTTACGTCATATCAAGACTATCAGATTTTAATTGAGAAAAACATTTTACATGCCTAATTGTGGTCATGATGACATCACATCATGACCATATATAGGCCCATCATGACTATATATGGGCATACAACAGTTTTTTTGTCAAAGAAAATTTGATAGTGTGGACAGAGCATTAGAGTATCAATAAATGAAGTGCAATTTCAAAATTCAAGGCCGGCGATATAAAGCTAATGAGAATGAAATAAAACATCAAAACGTCCAAACATTTAAATAATAGATACAATTGCTATAAATGACATTTCTAAGAATTCTTTTCGGTCTACCTAATATTTGCATTATATAATAAGAACCATTATTAGAATTTAGCTTAGTCTGTGTGTGCGCTGAACCGTGGAGATTACTTGGTCCCCAGTTTAATTCTCATCGTCCTTCTCCCTGTATTTCAGCTGGAGGGCTAAAATGCAACTTACAATAGCGTCTTTCGGATGAGACGTTTAAGCCGTTAGTTCCGTGTGCATTATGACCCATGTTCTGGTTAAAGAACGCAGTACACCGTCTTCAGAAAAGAGTAGAGGATTGTCTCTCGTTGTACTACCCAATTCACACCCAGAAGGACCCCACTAAAAACAAATCTTTGGAGTTAGGGTGTATCACAGGTGTGATTCACACCAAAGATACTCCTTCTATATCAAAGACTAAAAATACCGGTTTCTCCTTAAAGGGTGTATTGTTGATGATAAACGCATATATTTTACTATGACGGTATCGAAGATGCAATCTTTTAAAATGCATGAACATAACTAATGAACCAAAGTAGGAATGGAACAATGGACAATGGATGATCAAACAAAAGGACACGGACAAAATAACAAATAAACGAATGGATAACTATATGAAAGTAGGCCTACAATGAATGAGTGGACAAATGAGAGAGGGAAAAATAAACAATTAAAAGAATGAAAAAATAAATGGCTGGATGAATGAATAGATATTTAAATGAATGACTGAAAAGATGGGGGGGGGGTGGGGCGGATGGATAGGCAGATTTATTTTTTATTGTAATTACATTATTATTGTTTTAAATTGGACTTTTTCAATAGACTTTTAAAGAAAATACCTTAAAAGTGTGTGTGAGAATAAAAACGAAAATAACATTGAGATAATGGAAGATATCTTATAATACTCAACTAAGTAGTATTATGAACTTTATCAATACATGTATAAATCACAATTTTAAAACTCATAGTATTTGTGTGCATGCTTATATACCAATTACTGTATGTATTAAAACGTAATTTCTAATTTATTTATTAGTATATACAATGTTTAATAATAGCAATAACATTATGGATATTATATATAATGTGGAACTATAAGATCACTGAAACATTCCCTTAAAATATCTGATATCTTATGAAGTCCCATATTTTACTTCAATTTATAACAGACTCCTTTTGCAGAAAAGATAAATATTACTTATTATTCCATACACTAAAGCTATTAGTATAAAATCAATAAAGCAAAATTAGTTTAAAAAAATGTTAACAGTGATTTGCAACTGAATGTGATTCACCACATGACTGGCATTATTTGAGTAACTTTATTCTGTGGTTTTTAAAACTAAATCCGGTAGATTTCTAGTTTTTAGTTCCCTTCGTTTTTTCTAAATTTTGTGTCTGAAAGAATCTGCTTTGGTTTTCTTAACATTTCTTTTCACATTATTTCTACTTATAATCAGATTTTACTTGTTATTAGGACTTTCTAATAATAGCCGAATCGTATGAGCCAGAATTAGGGCTCGTTGAAGCAATACACAAGATCTCTGGTGACCACGAAGGCCTTATGTATCTTAACACTTCAGTCTATGCCATCGACACCGTCGATGAATCAACCCAGCCTATGGTAGATGAAGGTACGGGTTTTTTTTCACTGGCTTGTATCATATCATATTATTATTATTATTATTATGATAAATAGCCTATATATATATATATATATTGTGTCCAGATGACAAACAAATAATGATGTCGGTTCCGTGATAGTGTATGTATACATCTCATAAACAATCATCTAGCAATTACACGTATATAAATAAAATAATACTGACAATAATATCTAACACACCAAGCAACACTTAATTAAACACTTTTATGGTCTGATAGCATTATTGAAATTCAGTGTATTACATTTCATATAATATGACATAAAATAGCTTTTTAAGAAATAAACCAGCCAACCAACTGACTAACTACTGAATATGTTTTTTTTTCAAACGCCAATTATATTAGAGCAGAGGAAATAATTATTATTTGTTTTCAGCTAAAGATCCCATCCGTGTAGGTCTCCGTTCGCGTGTCGTATAAAGATGTTATGTGCAGGCTGTAATGTTTGTTACGTTGGCAAGACAAGCCGGTGTTTTTCTCTAAACGCATGCTCGAGCACCTGACAATAGATGGGAACTCGCATATATTAAAGCATTTGAAGAGTTCACGTCACTGCAAACAATTAGCCAATGAGGACTGCTTCACCATACTGGACCTCCACTACCCAAATTCTCAAAATTAAAGAAGCTTGCTATTCAGTGAGAGTAGCCCTCACTGAACAAGCAGCTTTTTTATTTTAATTTATCTTTGTCATTTTAAATTCGTTTCATTCTCTCCTTAGTGCATAGATATTCTGATTTTACTTCATCTTTATTTATATTGTGTTTTATAGTATTGTTACGGACACAACTTCTTAGCATGCAAAAAACATTTTTTTTTATTGCCCTATACTAATGATTGCCTGCGAGCAATACGATACGAGAATGGTAGTAGCACTCCGAAACAGGTCTTGTTGGGGCCGTTAAGGTGAAATATACAGAGTTCAATAGGCTTCGCCTATGATGAAGATACGATACGATATCTTGTGTTGCTTTTGAAGATTATTAGCTGTCTGCTGTCAAATCGTTCTAGAGGAAATAATGTTGTCAAAATTATATTTTTCAGAAAGTACCGGTAATTCTTCTACTGCAGGTATCAGCAGTACTGTTTTTGTGGCGGTTGGTGCCTTTATCATTGTCATCATAATTATTATCATCTTGTTATTTATAAGAAGGTGGATAAGGTAAATTTCACATTTGCAATAAAGCCTCATAAAATACTGCTTATTCGCTTATATATAGGCCTACAGTATATGTTCACATAAAATATAAACATCATCAGCTTTCCATTTCTCATTGGCGTTCAGTATGGTGAGCCAAATTGTCATTTAAACGCTAATCGATATATCTTAATTTTACAGAATACAAACACCTTAGCTTAGTTTCAAATGGAGATATCGCTATTTATCAATATATATATTTCTATCATCTCATTTTAAAATAGAGATAAACTAAGATATCACTATTTAAAACTAAGATAATTAGGCCTATATTTAAAACTAATATATCTCTATTTTGACAAAATATTACAATTTGGTTCTTATTTCAGGCAGCGCACTGAAATGTAATTTTTTTGTTCAAAAAGCAATGTTATACACTCAATTTCAACCATATTCCCTCAAGGACGAGCCAAATATGTAGATTACTGCTAATGTACAAATATTAAGATAATTCCCGCGGTTATTTATATAATGTTTTCCTATACCTTGCGTCAACATAGCAAGTAGAATTTGTGGGGCGGATATGTGACTCGGGCGTGCACCTCTGGAAAGAAGCATGAAAAGTTGTCCCAGGGGGTGGTTTTTGAGTATGCAAATTTCAAAAATTGCGGGAACCACAACGTCACTCCTACCGTTCCCGCCGAAACTTTGAAAAATAGAAATGGCCGCCAAACAACACAATTTTGACAGTTAAAGCTTTGAATGCCCATATTACCATAATCTTAGTGTCAATTAAGTTCTTTAGTTCAAGGAATTCAATAGATCATATATAAAACACCATAGAATACATCTTTATTGTGAAAATGCAAATTAAATATAATATCCTAGAATGGCCGCAAAAAAACACATGTTTAGTATTAAAATGACTGCGAGTGCCCTAATTACCACGACCTTAGTATCCACATCAGGCTTTAGTTTAAGGATTCCAATTGAACATACATAAACTCCATAACATTTTAATTGTGATGATAAAATACAGTAGAACCCCAATTAAGGGGACACATTCGGGACCAAAAAAGTGTCCTCTAAATAAGGGTTCATCTGAATAGGTGTACCCCTATTCAGGGGACACTAACCAAAAATGGAAAATAGGGGTTTTTGGCATGTTTTCATACAATGATGACATAAATTCTGTATAATTTTATTTTTATTGACATAAGAATCAGCTAAGTAGAATTAGAACTAATTTTTAGCAACAATTTTCAATGTAAATACAATACATTTATAATATGAAATCAGCACAAAATGTAATTAAAACAACAATAATTTTTTATTTATACAGTATATATTTTTAAAATAAACCTAGAGGTCAGGGTTTCAGTCCCGCTCGCTGTACTGTACATTTTGCTTGTGTCCTTGAGCAAGGCACTTTATCTGCATTGCTTCTCCTGTATCACCTGTCTTGTCGGGCTCATAGGTAGACCATATACAGGCTTGTATGGTACATGTTATGCCTTCCCAATTTCATCAAACCACCAATGCATGGGTTCTCTCCACACAGGAGTATATGGGTACCTGGTGGGGTTGCCTACCCCTGCGATGTTTACCAGCAGCAACACATAAAACAATTTTTTAATATATTATTTAATTTTGCATTTAGACGATAAAGATGTATGCTATTGTATTTTAATAATGTTTTCTTGAATTCCTTAAACTAAAGAACGTAGGTTTAGGCACCAAATCATGGTAATATAAGCACTTACAGCATTTAAACTGCCAAAACTGTGATTTTTGGCGGCCATTTTGATTTTTTAAATTTTCGGCGGGAACGATTGGAATGACGTCGTGGTTCCCGCAAATTTTGGAATCGGCATACTCAAAAAACCCCTAGGACAAAGTTTCATGCTTCTTTTATAGAAGTGCAGGTCTTGACCAAAACTTGTTACATATGCGCCCCAATGGCCTACATGCTCGATCGTTAAACTATGTCAGTTTTATAGCACATTATAATGAATAAATTCGCCCATTCAACACATATATCTGCAGGAGAAAAATTCTATAATTATTATAATATTTATTGTAATGTAATCATTATTTATACTTGTTTTCAGGTCTAAGAAGGATCAAGGTGCGGAAGAACCATTCTCAAGTGGTAATACATGTGCAACACATGGAATCGATGGACAGATTAATCACATTGAAGGATTGACCTCCGAGTTAAAATCAGATGCACCGGTGTCCACTGTAGTTTATAGTATAAATCAAACAATCGAAGAAAACATTAACACTAACCCTGCTCACCAATTCAACAACCCGAATACTATCGCCTTCTACCCAATCTCCGAACCACACAAGTTTACTAATTCTTCAGGCTTTGCTCCAAACGTGCTTTTTGATTATCGTCCTCCTCCATACGCTCCACCAGAAGATCCGGGAAGCATCTGTCCGAGTGCCCCGCCGTTATAATGTCCACCAGCGAGCTCATAAATTTAGAGAACTTGAAAAGGCAAATGTTTAAAATGGGTCATGATTTTATTTTTTTATACGCAACAAGTTCGTAATTAAAATGGGTCAAAATATTGAATTGAGTCAAAATGTTGTTATGCCGCTTAAGTGTTTTTTTTATATTTTTTTAACGTGAGTCAAAACATTGTTCGGTGCCTAACGGTCAATGTGAAAAATGAATCCAAAGGAATTAGTTTCTATGTAAAAAATATGTCCAAGAGGGTATTCATAATTCAGTTTTATTATAGCTAAAAGCTAAAGTTAAATTTTCGAATCAAAGAAGTACAGTATCACTCCTAATGTTCATATAATAGAACGTGTTTCATGATTGATTCTACACATAAAGTTCTTCACTTTGCAATAAAAGAATTTAGCATCACTTAAAATACAAAGTTTACATTTTGTTTTATCATCCGAATATATTAGTTACAATTTTCTGTTGAAAGTATTGATATATCAGAGCAGAGTATATTTGTAATGGTTTACGATTTTTACTTCAGATAAGAAAATAAAAAAAATACATCCAATAACTGTAAATTATATATTTTAATGAATGATAACAAATTTAGTGAGAAAAACGTTTGAATGATATCATTATGAATTGATATGATAATACAGGTCTCCCTCTAATTAAAGACCGCTTCTATTTAAGACCACGTTTCTGCAGTACCAATTTAACAAATGTCTTTATTTTTATTTTTCAATTATAGAGACCAAAGTTGCTTAAGGTAATGCAACTCAGGATCCAAAAGTGGTCTTAATTTCGAGGGAGACGAGACATATAATATGAAAATAAGAAAAAAAACTACCCACACTGAATAAAAAAATGCTGGTTGACAAAAGGCTAGATGGCAACTGCCTGGGATGAAATGTAGGCTACCTAAACCCGTAAAAACAGACAATTACACTACACAATTATTATACCTTGAGTACTTTTGAATATTAATACCTGAATTGTACACAGTTGCATCAGCGGCAAAAATATTGAAGTTTCCATCTGAAACGGACTGTGAGATTATTTATAAATACATAATAAGAATAGTTGCAATATACTCATGTAATTCAACATAGAATTTCTGTGTTGCAATAACCAATGGAGCAGTCAATGTTTTCCAAACGAGTAATACCTGACTTGCAAAAATATTTATCAAGCATGACATAAGTATTGGCGTTTCATCGATTAAAAAAATCAACACCACAACAGGTATCGATTATTTCTATACTAATGCCACTCGTCCTTGAACAGCTCCGGTACAAATTGAATACTTTTCTAGATTTATCTTTGTATAGGTGTAATTTTACCCTACCTGACGTGGAAATGTATTGAATACTGTGTACTGAATATTGTGAAAATGCAAATTAAATATAATATCCTAGAATGGCCACAAAAAAACACATGTTTAGTATTAAAATGACTGCGAGTGCCCTAATTACCACGACCTTAGTATCCACACCTATGCTTTAGTTTAAGGATTCCAATTGAACATACATAAACTCCATAACATTTTAATTGTGATGATAAAATACAGTAGAACCCCTATTTAGGGAACACATTCGGGACCAAAAAAACTGTTTACCCCTATTCAGGGGACACTAACCAAAAATTGAAAATAGGGGTTTTTGGCATGTTTTCATACAATGATGACATAAATTCTGTATAATTTTATTTTTATTGACATAAGAATCAGCTAAGTAGAATTAGAACTAATTTATAGCAACAATTTTCAATGTAAATACAATACATTTATAATATGAAATCAGCACAAAATGTAATTAAAACAACAATAGTTTTTTATTTATATATATATTTAAAATACACCTAGAGGTCAGGGTTTCAGTCCCGCTCGCTGTACTGTACATTTTGCTTGTGTCCTTGAGCAAGGCAATTTATCTGCATTGCTTTTTCTGTATCACCTGTCCTGTCGGGCTCATAGGTAGACCATATACAGGCTTGTATGGTACATGTTATGCCTTCCCAATTTCATCAAACCACCAGTGTATGGGTTCTCTCCACACAGGAGTATATGGGTACCTGGTGGGGTTGCCTACCCCTGCGATGTTTACCAGCAGCAACACTTAAAACCATTTTTAATATATAATTTAATTTTGCATTTAGACGATAAAGGTGTATGCTATTGTATTTTAATAATGTTTTCTTGAATTCCTTGAACTAAAGAACGTAGGTTTAGGCACCAAATCATGGTAATATAAGCACTTACAGCATTTAAACTGCCAAAATTGTGATTTTTGGCGACCATTTTGATTTTTTAAATTTTCGGCGGGAACGATTGGAGTGACGTCGTGGTTCCCGTAAATTTTGGAATCGGCATACTCAAAAAACCCCTAGGACAAAGTTTCATGCTTCTTTTATAGAAGTGCTTGTCTTGACTAAAACTTGTCACACATCCGCCCCAATGGCCTACCGGTACATGCTCGATCGTTAAACTATGTCAGTTTTATAGCACATTATAATGAATAAATTCGCCCATTGAACACATATATCTGCAGGAGAAAAATTCTATAATTATTATAATATTTATTGTAATGTAATCATTATTATACTTATTTTCATGTCTAAGAAGGATCAAGGTGCGGAAGAACCATTCTCAAGTGGTAATACATGTGCAACACATGGAATCGATGGACAGATTAATCACATTGAAGGATTGACCTCCGAGTTGAAATCAGATGCACCGGTGTCCACTGTAGTTTATAGTATAAATCAAACAATCGAAGAAAACATTAACACTAACCCTGCTCACCAATTCAACAACCCGAATACTATCGCCTTCTACCCAATCTCCGAACCACACAAGTTTACTAATTCTTCAGGCTTCGCTCCAAACGTGCTTTTTGATCATCGTCCTCCTCCTTACGTTCCACCAGAAGATCCGGGAAGCATATGTCCGAGTGCCCCGCCGTTATAATGTCCACCAGCGAGCTCATAAATTTAGAGAACTTGAAAAGGCAAATGTTTAAAATGGTTCATGATTTTATTTTTTTATACGCAAATTAAAATGGGTCAAAATATTTAATTGAGTCAAAATGTTGTTATGTCGCTTAAATGTTTTTTTTGGTTGTTTTTTTAACGTGAGTCAAAACATTGTTCGGTGCCTAATGGTCAATGTGAAAAATGAATCCAAAGGAATTAGTTTCTATGTAAAAAATATGTCCAAGAGGGTATTCATAATTCAGTTTTATTCTATCTAAGATTTACAATTTATAGAATGTATTTGTGAAGCACATACCACAAGAAATCTTCATTTTTTTACTTGTATTATGATTTATAATGAAAGTATATGCAAACATATAAGTTGAGCCCGTGTCATGTTTATTCTGTTTTACTCCAAGATAGAGATGGTAGGTTTTAAAAGAAAATTAACTCCTATTTCCAATGGGATTGACCTGCCATATACATATTTTGAACAAATTGATATTATTGTTTTGCTAGGTTTAAACAATGATAATGAAAATAATATTATTTCAAAGATTCAAGATAATTGATACAAAAGTTAACAAGGCCTATTAACAAGGCAAAAAGCGTCAAGGTGATCGTTGCGTGGGATGAAAGACTGAATTTTATAAGAGAGCACGGAAGACGGAAGCTTTAAATGCATTGAGAGAAGTAAGCTGTCTGACATCAAGAGGAATATTATTCCACAGACCAGCAATTTTACAGAAAAATGAAAACTTGAAAGCATTACAGTGGGCAAATGCAACGCAAAGCCATATATTGATATCTGATATACTGTAGGCCTACGTTATGCGTGTGTGACTATAGTGCAGTTTAACTGATATACAGAGAGAGTGAAATTTGCCTCCAGTGGAGCATAGTTGGTTAAGAGGTCTGTGATAAATCAGAAGGCCAGAGGCCGATCCTTTAAAGATAATCTTTCGTGGTCTTAATCTACTTTGAAAAGCAAAAATAACTCCTTGCATGAGCACAAAAGTTCAATTTCCAATATTCCTGCTGGCAAAAGAGGTGGTCGAATCTTAAGTCTACGCACAAGCGACCTGAGTAAACACCTTTGAATAAAAATGTAAGGACTTCCTGTCCGATTTAGGATGGTAAAGCTCATTTATAAAAACAAAGTTATCGTAAAGATTAAGATACGTTAGCTCAAAAATTACAATCTTGAAGAAATAGATTTCAAACGAAATCTAACACTAAAATGTAATAAGCAAATAAAATGAAAATAATCAAGGAGAATGCATGCTATGTAGTATGTGGTGGTGGTTTATGTATAAGTTAAGTTTTTCAGTTTAGTTTTGACGCGATTCACTAAAACAAATAAACATAAGAGATTGTCATCATCATTCCTGATGATGACATAATTAATGTCGAAATATTGAATCCCAACACGATGGCGTGTATTTCAATACTTGGAGTATGTATTATACTTTCTTATATAAGAGATTGTATGAGGCAAAATTTGCTTATTAAAGGCTTTGTTTTGTTATGGAACCTGTAATCAAGTAACTGACATGCAACTCCGTTTGATACTAGCTGTAATTATTGTATTATTTTGTCACAAATTCAATGTTATTGTTCAATGATCAATTAAATGATGAGATGTAAGAAATAAATTCAAATTGTTAATTGCAGTATACCATTTTACAGTATTTGAATTTAAACTTAAAATTCTTGAAGCGTTCTTCCGTTAGTATATACCTGGATTTTGATAATTTTTTCTAGATTTCCAAAATGGTATGTTAAACCAGGGAACAGTAGTTCTGTAACACTTTCACTTTACTATGGTTTAAAAGTTGTTTTGCTTCCAATTTTAGCTTGCCTTGCAAACTTTGATGTGCGGATACCTTTGCTGCTAGGTGGTATTGTTTGTACTCATGTTATGCCACAAATTGAAACGTTATTGTTGACAGCATTTCATGATGATATATATGAAATACTCAAAAATTCAAATGTCTAATTGCACAAAACCAGTTTATCATTTTACATTATCAAATTTCTTATTTTAGAAGCTGTAAAGATTTCCAATTGGTATACTGAACAAACATTTTGTAGCCCATTTCATGTACATAGTTTACAGCTTGTTTCACTTTTAATCGTATCTTGATTTGCTAAAAGAATGATTATGATATGTACAACCACTGTTTACAAATAAATTCATAGTTTCAAATCCCATCTAAAACATTGACGAACCAAAAAAACTAAATATTTTAAAACTTTGTTGACCCAATTTTAATTATATGAGACTACTTTGAAAGGTTATCATACCTGTACCTACAGAATCTAAATATAGACTTAATATTCTGCGCAATAACTAACCAACACGAGGAATTTATATCGAAACAAAAATAATAACAATCAAACCGCTTAGAGCCCTTGATGTTAGCATTGTTACCATTTTGGAAAATTTATGGTAAATCCCTTAGTATTCCTGCGATGTTAAATATACACTGCTATATTTATGTAACACACTCTCGATACAATACATTTTTTAGGCTTTACTACACAGACGTCACTTGGTATTGTTGAAGCACAATGGAATACGCTTCTAGGTATTTATTTCATGACTAGCGGTGGCGGGGTTCCCAAATTCTTCATTTTGGTGGTATCCTTGGACAAAGCACTTTATCAACATGTTTATTTACTTTTTTACACCAACGATATCTACACCCTGCTATATTCAAATTAATGTTGTTGATATAGTCGAATTTTTTTTGAAGGGGGAAAAGGCCGGATAGTAAGGCTGGGTGGCCAAACGCCTCCGAGGCAATGAGACTAGCGGATAGCTAAAAGCTAAAGTTAAATTTTCGAATCAAAGAAGTACAGTATCACTCCTAATGTTCATATAATAGAACGTGTTTCATGATTGATTCTACACATAAAGTTCTTCACTTTGCAATAAAAGAATTTAGCATCAAATACAAAGTTTACATTTTGTTTTATCATCCGAATATATTAGTTACAATTTTCTGTTGAAAGTATTGATATATCAGAGCAGAGTATATTTGTAATGGTTTACGATTTTTACTTTAGATAAGAAAATAAAAACAATACATCCAATAAATGTAAATTATATATTTTAATGAATGATAACAAATTTAGTGAGAAAAACATTTTAATGATATCATTATGAATTGATATGATAATGCAGGTCTCCCTCTAATTAAAGACCGCTTCTATTTAAGACCACGTTTCTGCAGTACCAATTTAACAAATGTCTTTATTTTTATTTTTTAATTATGGAAACCAAAGTTGCTTAAGGTAATGCAACTCAGGATCCAAAAGTGGTCTTAATTTCGAGGGAGACGAGACATATAATGTGAAAATAAGAAAAAAAAACTACCCACACAGAATAAAAAAAATGCTGGTTGACAAAAGGCTAGATGGCAACTGCCTGGGATGAAATGTAGGCTACCTAAACCCGTAAAAACAGACAATTACACTACACAATTATTATACCTTGAGTACTTTTGAATATTAATACCTGAATTGTACACAGTTGCATCAGCGGCAAAAATATTGAAGTTGCCATCTGAAACGGACTGTGAGATTATTTGTAAATACATAATAAGAATAGTTGCAATATACTCATGTAATTCAACATAGAATTTCTGTGTTGCAATAACCAATGGAGCAGTCAATGTTTTCCAAACGAGTAATACCTGACTTGCAAAAATATTTATCAAGCATGATATAAGTATTAGCGTTTCATCGAATAAAAAAATCAACACCAGAACAGGTATCGATTATTTCTATACTAATATCACTCGTCCTTGAACAGCTGCGGTACAAATTAATTACTTTTCTAGATTTATCTTTGTATAGGTGTAATTTTACCCTACCTGACGTGGAAATGTACTGAATACGGTACTCAGTACGTTTGAAAACGATTGCGAAACAAAACGCAAGTTGTTCTCGGGTGGGACTCAAACCCACGATCTCCAGATCACTAGCCTGGCATCA